TACAACAAGGCAATGGTGGCTACATGATATTATACATTTGTAAAAACTCATACAACTATATAACACAAAGAGTGAGCCCTAAACTGTGGACTTCAGTTTATAATAATGTATCAGTACTGGTTTATCAATTGTAACAAATCCACCACATTAATGAGATATGCTAATAATAGGATAAATCTTCCCTGGAGGTACAGGAGATACATGGGAACACTGTAAAACCAGTTCAATTTTTCTTTTCTTTTCTTTTCTTTTTTTTGAGACAGAGTCTCATTTTGGTACCCAGGCTGGAATGCAATAGTGCAATCATAGCTCACTGTAACCTCAAACTCCTATGCTCCAGTAATCCTCCTGCCTCAGCCTCCTTGAGTAGCTAGGACCACAGGCACATGCTACCATGCCTGGCGAATTTTTTAAGTTTTTGTAGAGACAGGGTCTTGTTATGTTTCCCAAGCTGCTAGTCTCAAACTCCTGGCCTCAAGTAATCCATCCACTTCAGCCTCCTGAAGTGCTGGAATTATAGGTGTGAGTCACCACGCCTAGCCTTGGAATAGTTTTTCATCCAGGAATCCTGAGATGGGGTATCTGAGAATGGGGGAAAAATCTCTTTATTAAAAAATAGTCATCCTAGAAACTGGATGATATTCAGAGAACTAGAAGAAAAAGGAGAAAAGGTGGCCTATGTGTTAATATGAGAAAATGGAATATTATTAAATATGAAGGAAAATTAAGGATTGTTAGTCAAAAACTTCCCTATCTGTACACATTAAAATGGAAAATAGAGCTCGGGCCTGGATCACTTTTATATAGGATCACTGTTACTATAATGGAGAGTCAACAGGTGACCTGGATTCTTTTGTGACTGTCAGCACTTACTCAGTGCCAAAGGGAATTCTGACTCCATGGCATTGTCTTTGACATCAAGCCTATAAATACCTCAAACAAATTTAAACATATGGGTTACAGCATATCTTGAAATCAGGTTTCAGAGCAGAACAGAACCCAGAGAACACATGCCCCATATATGGCTGCTTTCCAAATATGTAGAAATGTTTATTGTGGTTGACAATAAGTAGTTACAAATGGAATAATATAATGTGACCAACATTACACAGATGGTAACAGATGTCCACACGCTGGCCAAGTGGTACAATAGGGAGCTAAATAGTACTTGCTGGTTAGATATATGGACTAGTTAGAAGATATAGACAGAAAGAAAGCTAGTGCAAATGTCCCTGAATCTGCAGAAAACATTTCAAATTTTTTTTTTTTTTTTTTTTTTTTGAGACGGAGTTTCGCTCTTGTTACCCAGGCTGGAGTGCAATGGCGCGATCTCGGCTCACCGCAACCTCCGCCTCCTGAGTTCAGGCAATTCTCCTGCCTCAGCCTCCTGAGTAGCAGGGACTACAGACACGCGCCACCATGCCCAGCTAATTTTGTATTTTTAGTAGAGACGGGGTTTCACCATGTTGACCAGGATGGTCTCGATCTCTTGACCTTGTGATCCACCCGCCTCGGCCTCCCAAAGTGCTGGGATTACAGGCTTGAGCCACCGCGCCCGGCCCATTTCAAATTTTTAACTGCTGGAGAGACCGGCTGGATCCCTTTGAGAAAGGTGAAACATGTTGTTACTCACATGATCATTGGTCGAAATCCTGGAAAGTACCAGGGCTATGCATTTCTCAGTGGTATCTGTAGAGCTACGAATACAGTGAGTGTTGAATCTTTCTTTCATGAAGATAAAGCCCACTTTGCAGCTCTCATGGCTCATGAGCTTGGCCACAACTTGGAAATGAAACATGACTACATGGCCTAAAAGTGTAATGGCCAGAACCTCTGTACCTGTACTATGCATTAATTTATTACTATAGATATGGGCTTCAGCAACTGAAGCTTCCACTGCTTCCATTCATTTTTGCATAGGCTCAGAGAGGACTGCCTGTTTAATAAACTTGAGCACCAAAGCTCCTTTGGAAAGCCATATTGTGGGAAATAGATAGTGATGAAGGAGAAGAATGCAAGTGTGGCAATGTTCTTGATTGTGAAAGGGATCACTGTTGTCTGCCCTCACAATGGCTGAAGAAGGGTTCAGATTGTGCATTTGGATTCTGTTGCAGGCACTGCAAATTTCTAAAAGCAACCACACCCTGCTGCTTCAGTGTAGGTGAATACGACCTCTGAGAGCACTTTGATGGCACCTCTGAGTGGTGCCACACAGATATATACAAGCATAGTAGCCCTTGCAAAGAACAAGGTTATTGTTACCAGGGCCAGTGCAGAAGCCTAGAGAATCAGTGCATTAAAATCTCTGGAAAGGGCACACGAGCTGCTTGGAAATGATCATTATCAAGGGGGATAGGTTTGGAAACTGGCAGTGAGTCTAAAGGATTGTCTAAAGTTTTTGGCAAGTACAAAGCCAAATGTGTAAGATGTGAGAAACTGCTATGTGAAAACATCTAAAGATACCACATGCTGAAAAACATCACTTACCCATTTTCCCATGCAGGACATGTGGTGGTGGAGTACAGACAGGTCTGATGGGAGGGAGGTAAAGGATGGAACCCCATGTGGTCCACAAAAGATCTGTATCAATCAATCCTGCTTAGGTACCACTGTACTCCACTATGACTACAACCTGGTCAAGTGTCATGGGAAGGTTGTTTATAACAATTTTAAGAACTGGCACTTGTCTACAGCTATACCCCTACCACATGAGAATTTAAGGATTAGGAGGCAGTCTAACAGTGGCCCAGCTCCACATATCCCCTCTGACTCTCAGTATCACAAAAAGCTGATAATCCTAATTTGAGTCTTGCATAGCTGCTTATTACTTCTCATTCCTACTATCTTTTTGTTTGCTTACATCCGTAGACAATCTAAGACACTATCAATACAAAAAAAAAAAATCACTGGAACAGCAAAATGAACAAACCTGAAAAACATTTGTTAATTACTTTCTTTCTGGTAATAAGGCCAAATATGAAGTGATACTGAAAGGACCTTTTAGAACTGGAACTGGACTTCTGGTCAACGCATGAGCGCAGTGGCTCATGCCTGTAATCCCAGCACTTTGGGAGGCCGAGGTGGGTGGAACACCTGAGGTCAGGCGTTCGAGACCAGCCTGACCAACATGGTGAAAAACCGGTCTCTACTAAAATACTACAAAAATTAGCCAGGCGTGGTGGTGGGCGCCTATAGTCCCAGCTACTCGGGAGGCCAAGGTAGGAGAATTGCTTGAACCCGGGAGGTGGAGGTTGCAGTGAGCCAAGATCATGCCACTGCACTATACCCGGGGTGACAGAGCAAGACTCTGTCTCAAAAAAAAAAAAAAAAAAATTGGATTTCTTAGTTCTGGTGTCCCTTGGGGACTATGGATATAGGAACTCTTTCGTGCCTCCATCTATTTTTCTATATGCTGACTGCTTATTTGTTTTTAAAATAAAAGAAGTTAATGCAGCTTCCTAGGTGAGGCAGTCTATTTTGTTTTGTGCTATCCTGAAATCAGGTCTCAGGATCTTTGGGACAATGAGAAGCCTCAAGATATGATCTTGACAGAGTAAGAGCAGGTTACCCTCCATAACTTCCATGAAGTCCATGGTCTAAAACGGAAAGAGCTATCATTGAGCTCCCTGATATTTCTTTCTTTCTTTTTTTGAGATGGTGTTTCACTCTTGTTGCCCAGGTTGGGGTGCAATGGTGTGATCTTGGCTCACCACAACCTCTGCCTCCTGGGTTCAAGCGATTCTCCTGCCTCAGCCTTCTGAGGAGCTGGGATTACAGGCATGTACCACCATACCCAGCTAATTTTGTATTTTTAGTAGAGACAGGGTTTCTCCATGTTGGTCAGGCTGGTCTCAAACACCCAACCTCAGGTGATCCGCCCACCTTGGCCTCCCAAAGTGCTGGGATTATAGGTGTGAGTCACTGTGCCCAGCCCCTGACATTTCTATAGAGAGCTCTTTTGGAAAGATCTCTGTAACTTACTTTTCATAACATCCTGTCTAATCTTCCGTTATAATCCTCTCAGTCAATTTCCCCAATTTTAAAGATTTTGCCTCAGACATACCAAGATCATTTATCAGGTGAGAAGAAGACCACCTTTGTAATCATCAGATTAGTAGGTCTAGATGTTTTGATTAATTATCATTCCAGTCACCTTGTCCATTTGGCTTTCCCTTTGTCTTGGCATCATACTATATGATGCTCTGGACTCAGGTTGGCCTTGTTCACAACTTAGCTGGAGAGACCAAATATCACTGCTACATGATTCAAGAGGAAGAAACAGATTCCTACCCCTGAATGAAACTCTGCAGTCTTTTTTTTTCTTTTCCAAAAAATTTAAATTTTACCTATAAGTCACTTATTTGCTTCTTCACCCATTTATCCTATAAACATGTATTTAGCACTTACGATTAGGCTGAACGATGTGAAATTGATATTAGACCATTATCACCTACAAAAATGGCAAGTTGTTCACATTGTTCAATCTAACTTTATTCATTGATAAATTGAACACAATGAAACCAACCTTGGACTTCTGCTTGTAAATGCAAGTTAACAGTTATTGATTTCTAGATTTTTTTTTTAGTTTCAATTTCTCTTAAATCTTATTGTCCCAAAACCTAAAATGCAATAATAAATAAATAAATAAATAAAATTTTATTAAAAAGCAAAAAAAAAAAAAATCTTATTGTCCCTGTAATGTCAAAAGATTAGCCTTAGTATTTTAGAGTGGCGTGATCCCTATTGTTCAAGTCCTAGAACAGAACTGAACGTATGAGACTTAGATATGGTGGGTCTAAAGGTCCCACTATCAATTATTTGATAGTAGTTGTCCTTGTTTCTTATGAGTTTCCAAAACTCTTCACAAAATAAAAACCCAGGATTTTTGTGTCCAACTTTAGAGAGAGTAACAGCAATGGCAAGACCTGAGTAAGTTGTTGCATACCCCCACCCTGACTTCCCCTGCAACCATGGAGTAGAAAGCCTTGAAATGACACATATAAATGATAATCTGGAATTTATTTTTTCTAGAAGAGACTTAGACAAATCTAATATCCATCAAGGTAACATGAGTCTATCTCTGAGATGAAAAGTGTCTTCCTCTCCCTGGACAGAGGAGACTTTAAGGATCACTAGTGAATCTGGGAATAACTGGAGAGATACTACCAATTCATTTAGAATGACTACTAATAATAGCACTACATTTCCTTTCAGTTCTGCAGTTCAGAGCATAGTTAGAAAAGATTTAAGATGTCCTTTCCCAAAATTCTTTCCAATCCATTAGTGTAGAATAACTCCAGTTCCTGGATGTTCCAATATTGTAGTTTCAAAGAATGGTGGAAGTACTGGTAGGAAAAGTAAGGGTGGATTCCAGTGACTTTAAGCCCCTGCTATAGAATCTCTTCTGTGAGCATAATAACGGTGTCTGGGTATCTGCATCACGCTGAGCCTCCTGCTTTAGTTGGTGGAATTTGTGCTGTGTCCAGCCATATACTCCACAGTTGAGTAGACCCTGGGATGTTGCCGTTAGAGCCTGGAGGAGATGAAGGGGTGATGCAGCCCATGCTTCAGGTTTTCAGAGATCCAGGGAATAATTCCTACTTCCCTTATTCATAAAGCATTGTTATACTGTCTCTATCTCAAACATAAAGATCTGACATCAGTTTTTAAAACATTTTTTCTAGTTCATCCTGAACTCACTCTCTAAACTACACTATCATGGATGACAGAGAGTTGGTCATATTTCTTAATATATACATAGGAACAATGAAGTAGCTTCAATGCCTCTCCTTATTGCCTCATTTCCCAGAGTAGCCTTGAGAAAACTATCTCATCAGAATAGTCAGTAAAGAAAAAAAAAAAGAGAGGATTATTCTATCCCCTCCCCACCATTCACCAAGAATAGTTCATTTATCCCATTCAATTTACTCTGGATGGGAGAGAACCATGTCACTATCAATGTTTCATAAGAACATGCCTGGCAGATCTTATTTTTGCTGTCCATTCCTTAAAAACACATCAGTAAAATAAAATTGACCAGAGATATATATGCTCTGGATGCGTGGCAGTACTTTTACATCATCTACTTCGACTTTGAGAAAATTTTCACATTCTTCATAACTGAGTGTAAATAATACATTTTCTCTTTTGCAATGTAGAAATAAATACTCTGAGGGAAAAAACTGTGCTTATCGAGTAAAGGTAATATGAGAAAATAGGATGAGGGTGTAAGAACAGAGATAATGAATATTGAAGGTGTTACCTGGAGAACATAAAGAGCCATGTGAAGCTTGGTGTCCTGTGGCTTAGTCAGCTTTATGATCATCAGAATGACAGCTGTAAACACACAAAGTGTAGACCTTCTTGTCAGTCCTGACTGCCTGAAGTATCAGGTTCCTCCATACACATGCCTGAGCATTATCAGCATGGAAACAACAGGCATAATAAAATCCATCAGTGAGGTTAACCTGTTATGCGAACCAATGGGTCTTAGGCCTCCAACTTCTAGTCTTTAATAATAAAACTTTGTAGATTATAGTGTAGTAATGGATATACTATAAGAAGGTAATAATTTACACTTCCTATCAATTCAGATTTTCCCAAGCTTTTTCATAAAAATTATCCAATCTGGCCAGGGTAATCCCAGCACTTTGGGAGGCCAAGGCGGGCGGATCACCTGAAGTCAGGAGTTTGAGACCAGCCTGGCCAACCTGGCGGAAACCCCCTCTCTACTAAAAATGCAAAAATTAGGCTGGGTGTGGTGGCTCACGCCTATAATCCCAGCACTTTGGGAGGACGAGGAGGGTGGATCACAGGTCAGGAGTTCTAGACCAGCCTGGTCAATACGGTGAAACCCTGTCTCTACTATAATTTTGTAAAAAATATAAAAATTAGCTAGGCATGGTGGCTACTCAGGAGGCTGAGGCAGGAGAATCTCTGGAACCCAGGAGGTGGAAGTTGCAGTGAGCCGAGATCATGTTACTGCACTCCATCCTGGTGACAGAGTGAGATTCTGTCTAAAAAAAAAAAAAATACACACACACACACGAAGAAAACAAAATTAGCCAAGCATGGTGGCATGTGCCTGTAATCCCAGCTACTTGGGAGGCTGAGGCAGGAGAATTGCTTGAACCTGGGAGGTGGTGGTTGTAGTGAGCCAAGATTGCAAAACTGCACTCCAGCCTGGGCAATAGAGTGAGACTCTGTCTCAAAAAAAAAAAAAAAATTATCCAATCTGATCCTCACTATAACCTTATGTAGTAGGAGGGGCAGGTGTTAGTATCTCCAAGTCTCTCATGATATTTCTTCCTTTTATATCATTGTGCATCTCATGTTTAATTCTCTTAATTTCTAAAAACATAAGAAGCAAAAGGAGTTAAGGAGGTTGGTAAAAACTGGAAATATGGATAGGGACCATACAAATTTTACAAGCAGAATAGGAATTTGCAGCCATCCTTCTTGGTGAGACCACTTTGATTGATCAGAATCTAATAACTGCCCTCTTCACTGCCCATCTTTTCTCACTAAGATACCTACCTGGGCCCCAGCAGCAAAAGAAGGCCACTGGGTAGAAGCGTACTCTCTGGTCCATAATGTGAATCACTGCCCACTGTTCACTCCCCAGAAAGCCAGATGACTTCACAAACTTCTTATACAATGTCTGGGCTTGGATAAGTAAGACCTAAACGTAAGTACAGCAGTGAGCAGTTAATTTAAAGCTTAGTAAAATGCCCCAGGTCTATCTTCCTATCATTTTAAAAAGATTATTCTCTTAGAATCTCACAACAGGAATGACCCCATTCTCTTATCTTTACTTTCTGAGATCAGGCTTTTTCTGAGAAAAAATTACCTTAAGAGTGAACTTGGCCAGGCATGGTAGCTCACGCCTGTAATCTCAGCACTTTGGGAGGCTGAGGTGAGCAGATCACGAGGTCAGGAGTTTGAGACCAGCCTGACCAACATGGTGAAACCCTGTCTCTACTAAAAAATACAAAAATTAGCTAGGCATGGTGGCTCATGCCTGTAATCCCAGCTACTTGGGAGGCTGAGGTAGGAAAATTGCTTGAACTGGGATGCGGGAGGTGGAGGTTACAGTGAGCAGTGATAGCGCCATTGCACTCCAGCCTGGGACACAGACAGAGTAAGACCCCATCTCAAAAAAAAAAAAAAAAAAATACAAAAATTAGCCAGGCATGGTGGCAAGTGCCTGTAATCCCAACTACTCAGGAGGCTGAGGCAAAAGAATCACTTGAACCCGGGAGGGGAAGGTTGTTTTTTCTACTTTCAGCTGTCTGAATAAGGTTTAGCTCATGAAACAAATATAAATCAGTTCAAAATTCCAATGCGGTTTTTTTTGCAGAAAATAAATTAGATAACACTCGTGGTAACAAATCTGACTCTTTTTCCCTAATCCAGATCTACTCTCTAAGTTAATAACCTCATTACTTAATCAAGTTCAGCCATGTACACAGTCTTCTTTCCCTACATAAGCATCAAAAGGAGACGAGTTTGAGAATACTTACGCCTAAAAGAATCAGTTCACCATCTGCTGATTTTTAAATAATCTAGAATGCTAATTCTGAGTATATACACTGAAACCTGGGCTATTCTAAAGAAGCAATCAGGAATCTGCAGGGTGCCAAGGTCTGGGACCTGTTTCTCTTGGTAGTTCCAAATATAAACCATCAAACCCATTTTGATATGAACTAGTCATTGTGTACTGTTTGCAAAGCTGCTGATTTGAACTGAGCCATCTTGTTTGTGTGTGTTTAAGAGAATTTTTTTATTTTTGAGACAGAGTCTCCTTTGTTGCCCGGGCTGGAGTGGTGCAATCTCAGCTCACTGCAATCTCCGTCTCCTGGGTTCAAGTGATTCTCATGCCTCAGCCTCCTGAGTAGCTGGGACTGTATGTGTGTGCCACTATGCCTGGCTAATTTTTGTATTTTTAGTAGAAATGGGGTTTCACCATGTTGGCCAGACTGGTTTCGAATTCCTGGCCTCAAGTGATCTGCCCGCTTTGGCCTCCCAAAGTGCTGGGATTACAGGTGCAAACCACTGTGCCCAGCCAAACTCCATCTCTATAACTTATGTCTGAGTTGTCAAAGGAAATTCCCCATTACTCTATCTGGTACACAGGTATTAGTGGGATACATTTGATCTGCAAGTAGATACCTTGTAATTCTTGAACTGGAACATAAAAAGAGGAGAAAACGATACTGAAAAATAGATATGGCAAATACAAACGGATATTCGCTCATTTACTGCTTTTGCATGAGGCAGTTATGTAACTTACTATCCCCTGGCTAATTATTATAATTGTACATCATCCTGATGATATCAAATGAGTATCTGATAACTTCATGAGCCACTTAGCACTTTAGCCCCAGTTAGACATAGCATAAATACAAATTTATGGCCAAATAAAGAGTTTAAAAAAGAAAACTATTTTATTATTTGGAAAATTAAATCGAAGCATATGTTCTATATTCCAGAGTGTGATCCTGTCTATATAAAGAATATATGTTATGCCCTAAGTGCATGCAGAAAAAAAAAAAAAAAAAAAAAAAAAAGGAAAAAAAAAAAAAGAACAACAACAAAAAAAGAATATATGTGACACATAAGAGTTTTCTGGCCAGAGGGGATTGATGAAGCCTATATTAGTTGTAGAGCGGGCATATTTTCACCTAATGAATACAAGCTCTTTTCTTTCTCTCCTCATCTGATTTGGAGAAGTCCAAAAATCTGTGGCAGTGATTATATGTCGAGATCTCCTAGCTACTTTTTTAGTTCTAGAACAACAAGAAGTGGCTCTCTGCCCCATCTTTCCCAGGTCCTGGGAATATTGGCCCATTCCCCCCTCACTTCCCCTTCTCTCCACAAAGGAAGGTAGGGTGGTACCATACCATAATTGTAAGGAGGCTGAGTACAAAGCTGCCCAGGAAAATGGTGATACCATAAAAATAAAGTATGCCACAGACAGATGTGTTGGCAGAAGGTAGGAGTTCAGCCACGGATGATGGTGGTGAGTGCATCAGGATACACCTAGGAAGAAAATTAACAAACAGGAGTACTACAAAAGATAAAAAAAAAAAAAAAAAAAAAAAAGCTGCTCACCAAGAGTTAATAAGCATGTCATTTTACTTATCATTTTGCTAACTCTTGCCTATAATACCTTGTCACTCTCCCATAGACACATTATCTTGTCATTTTGTGTTACACTTTTACTTTTGTATTTTTACCCTTTACTACATCTTGTTCCGTAGCCCATTTCTAATATAAGCACTTTGGTCAGAATGTATGTAGAAAGTCTTTTTCCAGTTCTTATTTATAGAAACAAATAGGTATAGTCTGCCATGAAAATCATACATTTAGTTCTTACTTACTTGTGGCTCTGGCTGAAGTTTTGGAAACATTCACTAGTATTGCCCAGACAGAATACAGGTGTCATCAATAGCAGAGGTATCAGGCTGGGAGGGGAAAAAAGTATCACCCTAATATCCAGTCTTTTTCATGCCCTTCCTCCTTTGCAGAATATTCTCCTGCTCTTCCCTCAATTATATCATCCCACCAATCGCCACAAATAACACATTTTATTTCTTCAAGAAAAATACCTCAAATACCTTTGGTATTCCCTCTTTTCCAGGTCCTAGGGAAGTACAATGCAGTGGGGAATTAATTTTATACCTAGATTAGTGAATCCTACCATACAGATAATCTCTGGGAGCTGTATGGTCAGATAAAAATCCAAGTGGGTCAAAGTGAAAGGAAAATCTGCGAAGGAGTTCTGTGTGCAGTCTGTTTTACTTTCTGTGCTGACCAGGAATAATCTCATTCTCATCCGCCCCTTCTTGGGAGCTTTTCCAAAGCTTAGCTTTAAATAGCCAGCTCTTTATCCAACTAAATACAACCAGCTCCCTGTAAGAGGAAAAGATCCAGGAGCAAAAGTCACAAAAGTCTAAAACCAACTCTGATATGGCCACCACTTTAGGTGAGATCCAAACCATTTCTGGACTCTATAATCCTAACACTCTTACCCAATGTTATAAAGTAGATGAGATCCTGAAGGTTGTCTATTACAACTCTTTATGATATAGAAAAAAGAGTAAGTGATCCAAAGACCAAAGAAATTTTGTTCAAGGTCACACAGAATTGATGGTAGAATTGGAGCTAACACCCAAATCTATAACATCAACTACTTTTCTATTCAATGTGGAAAAATGGAACCAATGAACATATATTTGTTGCTTCTAAGTTAGGCTCTGTGAGGACTTAGGAGTGACAACGGAAATAAAGGGCATTGTCCTATTTGTTCCCACCTGAACACCAGGATAATGAGAGTCTACACCTTGCTAAGAAGTAAAGAAAAAAATCTTACCTTGAGAAAATGAGGGCCATTTGACCAACTCGACAAGTATAATCTATCACCTGTGAAAAGAATAAATGTGAGAAATGTCTTAAGACATTATCAATCATATAATAATATATACCAAGTCAGTTAACACTCTAGAACAAAAAGATTTCCAAAAGCCAGTTTTTTCCTGTCAAGCAATATTTGCTATAAAATTCATCTAATAGATACAGTAGTTCCTTATTAGCACTGTATATAATAGAATTTTATCTCTATTACTATATTCTAAAAAGTACAACAACACAAAAAACCCACAAAGAAAGCCTGCAGGAAGTAGCCTAATATGGAATTTGGGTACTCAAACCAATTCTCTTAAGAATAAAGGCATAGGCCAGGCATGGTGGCTCACGCCTGTATTCCCAGCACTTTGGGAGGTCGAGGCGAGTGGATCATGAGGTCAAGAGATTGAGACCATCCTGGACAACATGGTGAAACCCTGTCTCTACCAAAAAATACAAAAACTAGCTGGGCATGGTGGTACGCGCCTGTAGTCCCAGCTACTTGGGAGGCTGAGGCAGGAGAATTGTTTGAACCTGGGAGGGGGAGGTTGCAGTGAGCTGAGATCGCACCACTGCACTCCAGCCTGGCGCCTGGTGACAGCAACTCTGTCTCAAAAAAAAAAAAAAAAAAAAAAAAAAAGAAAGGCATATATGAAATCACATAGTAACCCTCCATCTTCTAATAACAGTAAAGTTCTTCTTTTAGACCCAGAGAGGTGTGGATTTCTTCAGACTTTATGGGTGGAATGAAACCCTTCTTATAAGATGATCAGTAAAAAGTGTAATAGGCCAGGATTAGTATAGTAGTGCAGGGTCAAATATGCCCTTTGGATATAAGACTGTTAGACACTAGAAGATAGAACATTTTCAAAATCTCATCTTGTGTTACACACTGTAAAACAACTTACAGAAGAGTTATTCCTACCCACTAGGACTTCATGATGTACGAATTTGAATGGAATATCTTAAAGAAATAATAGAATTAAAAATAAGCTTTTTTTCTTATTTAAGGTAGAAATGATATTTAGAATGGCATTGTTAGGGATCAATAAGCATTAAGTGAACAGCTAATCAATAATTAGATATCGGTAACTAATCTGCCCCAAACAGTCTGGATCTAGAATAGGACAGCTAGTGCTGACTATAGGAAAGTAAGTAAAATTGGTTTTTGTGACCCCTTCCACCCACTTCCATTCTTCACTTTTTTTTTTTGAGACCGAGTCTTGCTCTGTCACCCAGGCTGGAGTGCAGTGATGCAATCTCAGCTCACCACAACCTCCGCCTCCAGGGTTCAAATGATTCTCCTGCCTCAGCCTCCTGAGTAGCTAGCAGTACAGGTATGTGCCACCATGCCCAGCTCATTTTTTTATTTTTAGTAGAGACAAGGTTTCACCATGCTGGCCAGGCTGGTTTAGGACTCCTGATCTCGTAATCTGCCCGCCTCAGACTCCCAAAGTGCTGGGATTACAGGCGTGAGCCACTGGGCTTGGCCCTACTTTTTATTCTTTCCTCCACCAGGTGGTTCCTGTGTTTAATTCTTATTTTTACCTGGGTACCAATGAATCTCTGATACAAAGCTTATTGCTGGCTGGGTGTGGTGGCTCATACCTGTAATCAATCCCAGCACTTTGGGAGGCTGAGGCAAGCAGAGCACAAGGTCAAGAAATCGAGACCATCCTGGCCAACATGGTGAAAACCTGTCTCTACTAAAAGTACAAAAATTAGCTGGGCACGGTGGCATCCACCTGTAGTCCCAGCTACTCAGGAGGCTGAGGCTATTGCTGAGGCAGGAGAATCGCCTGAACCAGTGAATTGGAGGTTGTAGTGAGCCAAGATTGTGCCACTGCACTCCAACCTGGCAACAGAGTGAGACTGTCTCAAAAAAAAAAAAAAAAAAAAAAAAGAAGGGTAATTATTAGTATGGAATACCCAGAGGTAAACTAAAGAAAAGTTACCAGAGTATAATCCTGTGTTGCACAATACAGTAGCTATAGCTGCATGTGGATAATGAAATTAAAATTAAGTAAAATTTAAAATTCAATTCCTCAATCACATTAGGCATAAGTGTTCAGTATTCACATATAGCTAGTAGCTACTAAACTAGACTGTGAATTAAATATTTTAATTATTGAAAAAAGTTCAACAGCTCTTTTATAGGCTGTAAGATCCTGTTCAGGATACTGCTTAAGGGCCTCTTCATGTTACTTTTCAGTTATCTTCTCAGTGCCCTTTCTGTTTACAGCAAGACAGAGTGAGAAACAGAAATTTAAAATGCATTATCTGCCCCTGGCCTTGTTCAGTCATGAACATCTAGAAAAACAGAAAAAAGTAAGAAGAGTGTCTCCTTAAGAAGTCAATCAGGGCTGGCCTCGGTGGCTCACGCCTGTAATCCCAGCATTTTGGGAGTCCAAGGCGGGTGGATCATGAGGTCAAAAGATCGAGATCATCCTGGCCAACATGATGAAACCTTGTCTCTACTAAAAATACAAAAAAATTAGCTGGGTGTGGTGGTGGATGCCTGTAGTCCCAGCTACTCGGGAGGCTGAGGCAGGAGAATCGCTTGAACCTGAGAGGCGGAGTTTGCAGTGAGCCAAGATCGCGCCACTGCATTCCAGCCTGATGACAGGATGAGACTCCATCTCAAAAAAAAAAAAAAAAAAAAAGAAGTCAATCAGATGAAGAGTTCATAGAATCGTAGCATCTTAGAGGTGGAAGGGACATTAAAGATCACATAGACTAACAACTCATTTTATTTATTTATTTTTAAACGGTGTTTCACTCTTGTTGCCCAGGCTGGAGTGCAATGGCATGATCATGGCTCACCACAACCTCCTGGGGACAAGTGATTCTCCTGCCTCAGCCTCCCAAGTAGCTAGGATTACAGGCATGCGCCACCACACCTGGCTAATTTTGTATGTTTAGTAGAGATGGGTTTCACCATATTAGTCAGGCTAGTCTGCCCACCTCGGCCTCCCAGAATGCTGGGATTACACGCATGAGCCACCACGCCCAGCCAACACTTCATTTTATGATGAAAAACTGGAGGTGCAAGAAAGGGAGATGATATGTCTTTCTTTCTTTCTTTCTTTCTTTTAAGGATGGGGTTTAACCCTGATGGCCAGGCTGGTCTTGAACTCCTGACCTCAGGTGATCCCCCTACCTCGGCCTCCCAAAGTGGTAGGATTACAGGCGTGAGCCACCACGCCTGGCCTAGGGAGATGATATGTCTAAGGTCACAACAGGAGATAAATAACAGAACTGAGTCCAGAAGACAGATCTTCTGATCTACCCTGAAATGCCCTTTTCATGATATAATAGTATTATTTATTTGTTCAACAAGTATTTATTGGCCAGGCACGGTGGCTCATGCCTGTAGACCCAGCACTTTGGGAGGCCAAAGTGGGCAGATCACTTGAGGTCAGGAGTTCAAGACCAGCCTGGCCAACATGGTGAAACCCCATCTCTACAAAAAACACAAAAAATTTAGCCTGATGTGGCAGTGCATGCCTGTAATCCCATCTACTTGAGAGGCTAAAGGATGAGAAATGCCTGAACCCAGGGTTAGCATACAGTCAAGAAGGATTTCTCTTGCTGAGTCAAACCAGGCAGGAATGCCAGTACTATAAATAATATTCCTATGATCAAACCTGTATGTGTGCGTGTGTGTGTGTGTGTGTGAGAGAGAGAGAGAGAGAGAGAGAGAGAGAGAGAGAGAAAGAGAAAGAGAGAAAGTGAGAGAGAGAGAGAGAGAGAGAGAGAAGGGAGAAGAGGAAGTGATGTCAATAGGATGCAAACTCTGCGGGAACCTGTTTTTTCTTTGATTAATCTCCATAAATGCAGCTAGCTAGTGCTAAATGCTTACACTGTTTGTCAGGGATATATAGGTTTTTACATATATTTTTTTTCTGTCACCCAGGCTGGGGTACAGTGGCTTGAATGATCCTCCCGCTGCAGCCCGCCCTCAGTAGCTAGGATGGTAGGCATATGCTACAATGCCCAGCTAATTTTTTTGGTATCTTTTGTAGAGATGGGTTTTTGCTGTGTTGCCCAGACTGGTCTCAAACTCCTGAGCATAAGCAATCTGCCCCCTTCAGCCTCCCAAAGTGCTGGGATTACAGGTATGAGCCACCACACCCAGCCTAGCATACTATTATTAACTATGAACTCTGAATAAAACTTACCAGTGGAGATGGGCTCTGTCCACTCTGGGTGTGTTTCATCCTCAGCTCTGTGTACAAATACCAGATGTAATTGACGGTGCAGAGAAATGAAGAAATGTAGAATACCTAGGTTAAAATCAAAACAGCCTATCATAACTGTCTCACTCTGACACTGTGAAGTTCTTTCAACATATTCCATTATGGGAATCCTACCTACTAGTCTATTAGTAATGTACCACCTAGTGTCCACACCAGCCAAAACCATACCAAGTCTGAAGTTCTCTGTGTGTGTGTGTGTGTGTGTCAGAGTTTTCGCTCTTGTTGCCCAGGCTGGAGTGCAGTGGTACAATCTCGGCTCACTGCAACCTTTGCCTCCTAGGTTCAAGCAATTCTCCTCCATCAGTCTCCTGAATAGCTGGAATTTCAGACATGTGCCACCATGCCTGGCTAAATTTTTGGATTTTTAGTAGAGATGGTGTTTCACCATGTTGGTCAGGCTGGTCTCAAACTCCTGACCTCAGGTGATCCACCTGCCTCAGCCTTCCAAAGTGCTGGAATTACAGATGTGAGCCACTGCATCTGGCCCCAAGTCTGACATTTTTAATAGGCCTCCCTAAAACATGCCCTGCTTCCTTATTTTCTCCTTTGGACTGTTCAGAAGAACCACAGCATTATCCACCTCTACCTCCCCAACAGTCTCACTTTTATGAAGATATCATATAGTCTTTTTCTATTTTATGTTTTAATTTAAAAGGAAATAAGGATTTCTATTTCTAGTAATGATAAGCTAAGCTATTTGAATCAACTTTCCATTCAAAAGAACTAAACATGCTGGATAAAATATTTTTTAAATCCTTAAAAGAACTGAAATTATATCAAGGAACTAGTGGGATAAAATCTAAGGGAAGGAATTTCTACTTCCAGCTTTGATGAGATAACAGGAAAAGAATTTACCCTCCAGCCTTAAACAACTAAAAATTGAATAAAATATGTGAAAATATCCAGTTTTCAAACAGTAGGCAACAAGCAGAAGAGAACACCAATCCCTGCAAAAAGAGAAGCAAGGTGAGTCCATCAAGGACCCCAGCTCACTGGCTGGTAGGAGTGAGTACAGAAGGGCCAGTCACGATGGCTCATGTGTAATCCTACCACGTTGGGAGGCCGAGGTGGGCAGATCACAAGTTCAAGAGATGAAGACCATCCTGGCCAACATGGTGAAACCCCGTCTCTACCAAAAATACAAAAATTAGCTGGACGTGGTGGTATGTGCCTGCTGTCCCAGCTACTTGGGAGGCTGAGGCAGAAGAATCGCCTGAACCCAGAAAGCAGGGGTTGCAGTGAGCCAAGATCATGCCACTGCACTCCAGCCTGGTGATAGAGTGTGACTCCATCTAATAATAATAATAAAAAAAAGAGTGAGTATAGGAGGAGGAATCCAAACAGATCACTGTCTTGGTGAGTTGAGAAGCCAAAATTCAGAAGGTTAAAATTTGTGAAGTACAGTATCAGGGCAGAGGAAGCTATATGGTGAGATGATGTTCAGGAAAGCTTCAGAGGTCACCCCAAGTCTTTGGTTAAGTATTAATCAGTGTATATGGGAGAGAAAACCAGAGAATCATCAGAAAGGAGTAGATGAGACAATCCCTAAAGCTCCCACAGAGCCAGGAATAGTTTGTTTTCTCATCAACTGGGTGGAAAAATACACAGGGCATAATCATAAGAAGAGTATCGCTTCTCTGGGGGCTGAGGCAAACGAATTACTTGAGACCTGAAGGTGGAGGTTGCAGTGAGCCAAGATGTTCAGCCTGGACAACAGAGTAAGACTCCATCTAATAATAATAATAAAAACAAACAAAAAAACAAAACAAAAAAAAAAAAAAAACAAGCCTTCAAAAAACAGGCAAGCCTTGAAAGGATCAAACAGATCAAACAGATTCAGAGTTAACTTCATTCAAGACAACCGCCTCGCCCATTTAAAGGAATGAATTTAAAAATCTAATGCTAAACAATGTAAAATTCACAACGTCTGGTATCTAATAAAACACAAGGCATACAAAGAAGCAGGAAAATCTGACCCATAACCAAGAGAAAAGTTAATCAATATAAGTGGACTCAGAAATTACACAGATTATAAAAATTAGCAGACAAATATGTTAGAGGAACTATTACAAATATACTTCTTACGTTTAGAAAGGTAGAGGAAAGTAGAAAAATGAAAAATATAAAAAAGATCCAAACTGAATTTCTAGGGATGAAAAATATATGAAATGAAAAATATGGCATATTAGAAACTGGAAAAGATTGGTAAACTTGAAGATATGGAAATATAAACAACCTGAGAAAGATCACATAGAGTAAAAAGACTTTAAAGAATGAACACTCAGTGAACTGTGGAATAATATCAAAGTTAATGCACATCACATTGAAATTCAAGTAGTTAAGAGGGAGAAAAGAATGTTTGAAAAAATAACGGCCAAAATGTTTCTAAATTTGATAAAAGCTAGAAACCATCATACCCAAGAAGTTTAACAAATCTAAGCACAAGAAACATAAAGAAAACACCCCAAAGTACATTGTAACCAATGATAAAACAGAAAATACCCAAAGCAACTAGTGTAACAATGCACATTACATACACAGGAACGAAGATAGAGTGTCAGCAGACTTCTTATAAAAAAGAATGCAATCCAAAAAAAATGGAGAGTAATACCTTTAAAACTCTGAAAGAAAAAAAACAACTGTGTCAACACAGCCAAAATGCCTTTCAGAAAAAAGACAAAACTAAACACTTTTTCAGACAAACAAAAACTCAGATAACACAGTGAAACAGATAATTACTACAAGAAATATTAAGGGAAGTCCTTCAAGCAGAAAACAGAAGATACCAGATAGAAATTTCTTTATTATTATTATTTAAGATGGGGGTCACACCATGTTGCCCAGGCTGTTCTCGAACTCCTGGGCTCAAGTGGGCCTCAGTCTCCCAAAGTGCTGAGATTACCATGCCCCACTGAATTTCTCATTTGAACACACAGGAGTTAAAGAGAGAATTCTTTAAAAAAAAAAAAAAAAAAAAAGGAGAGGGGGGCCTGAGTAGCAGAGCTAAACTAATGCTAGAGAAGAGGCTACTCTAGATTTATACTTAATAACAAAGCTTCAAACGATCAAGCTGATCCAAAAGTGATTTAACTCTGACAAAACAAACATCCACAGTTTCTAAGGAAGACAACAAAATCCAAATCCACAAAAAACATGATATTCACAATGTCCAGGATCCAATAAAAATTACCACACATTTATAAAGCATAGGAGTAAAACGTAGAAATAATGGGGAAATAAAAACTGTGTAGATGGGATGAGGGGAAAGTGAGACTTCTCTGAGTATACTTTTCTATGCAGTTCTGACTTTTAGAACAATGTTAATGTTTACATACTAAAATATATGTAAGTATGTGTGTACATATATATATACACATATTATATATTATATAATGTTTAAAACCAACCAAGATGGACAGGTGTAGGGATGAATTACAAACAGAAACAGCCGGGCGCTGTGGCTCACGCCTGTCATCCCAGGACTTTGGGAGGCTGAGGCAGGCAGATCACCTGAGGCTGGGAGTTCGAGACCAGCCTGACCAACATGGAGAAATCCTGTCTCAACTAAAAATACAAAATTAGCCAGGCGTAGTGGCGCATGCCTGTAATCTCAGCTACTTGGGAGGCTAAGCGAGGAGAATCGCTTGAACCTGGAAGGTGAAGGTTGAGGTGAGCCAAGATCATGCCATTGCACTCCAGCCTGGGCAACAGGAGCAAAACTCCACCTCAAAAGACAAAAACAAAACTGACTGTTAAAGAATAATGTAAGTACAATAAAGGCAATGGTGAAGAAAATAACTAACCTAAGTAACTATATACGTTATAGAAGAAAACATAGGTGAAAAATCTTAGTGACATTAGGTTTCATAAAGATTTCTTAAATACTATAAAGGCGGAATTATTTTTAATAACTTTTCATAACTGAATTTCAATATTAACAACTTTTTTTCTTCAAAAGAAATTGCTGGCCAGGTGCAATGGCTCACACCTACAATCCCAATACTTTGGGAGGAGAAGGAGGGAAGAGCGCTTGAGGCCAGGAGTTTATGACCAGCCTGCAACATAGCAATAACTTGTCTCTACAAAAAAAATTTCTTTTTTTTTTAGCCAGGCATGATGGCACGCACCAGTAGTCCTCGCTACTTTGGAAGGCTGAAGCAGGAGAGACCAACCATTCTATGCTAAGGAAATAGATGCTTTAAGAAGCAACAGGTAGTGTTACATCTCTTTTAGAATTTGTCTACCAGGCATTTCAGTTTTTACTAGAAAGCCCCTCGCCCCCCCCACCCATTTTTAAATTTCTTAAAAAGAAGAAATATAGGCCAGTATGGTGGTTCACGCCTGTAATCTCAGCACTTCAGGAGGCCAAGCAGGCAGGTCACCTGAGGTCAGGAGGTTGAGACCAGCCTGGCCAACATGGCAAAACCCCGTCTCTACTAAAAATATAAAATTAGCTCGGCATGGTGGTGGGTGTCTGTAATCCCAGCTACACGGGAGGCTGAGGCAGGAGGAATCGCTTGAACCCAGGAGGTGGAGGTTGCAGTGAGCCGAGATCGCGCCACTGCACTCCAGCCTGGGTGACAGAGGAAGACTCCCTCTCAAAAAAAAAAAGAAAAGAAAAAGAAATATGTAATTTCATTTAAGCCCAGTAGAGGGAACCAGGATGTCATTACATCCAATACATTTTTTTCAACCCTCACACCAGATACATAAGCATTCTAAATTTGACCCTTCTTGAAATTTTCAGGTTTAAAATTTTGTAACAGCATAAGTGATATTGTTAAAAACCTTGAGACTAGGCCGGGTGTGGTGGCTCATGCCTGTAATCCAAGCACTTTGGAGGCCAAGGCGGGCGGATCACCTGAGGTCTGGAGTTCAAGACCAGCCTGACCAACATGGTGATACCCCGTCTTTAAAAAAAAAAAAAAACAAAAAAAAAAACCCTCGAGAATTTTAATTAATATTAACTTTCTTCAATAGCAAAGATAAATGATTAATTATGAATTTATCATCCTAACTACTTTGTA